TAATTGGCAAAGTTTAACAACACAAACGTAGAATGCCAGCAAGACAAACGACCAACGAAAAACAAGCCGCAGAGACCCCACCTCAGCTAAAAGTCGTTAAAAAGAAAATGTCGGGTTCGCTTTTCGCTGCCACCAATTTAGCGTTCCGAGACCTCCTGGCCGGTAAGTGCAGCTGGATATATGTATTCTGAAGACAATAGGACAAATGGGCCACAAGATCCTAAAATGACCGCCAAACGTCACGTGGTTACATATATAAAGCATTACAGATTCCGCCTTAAATGCCGGACTACAGTCTATACATTAACTGGTGTTCCAATGTGCAGAATACTTACAGTTCTGGAAATGGAAGTATCTACCGACAGCCCCCTTCCAAACATGGAATTTGCAATCTACAATCCCAAGAATGCGTACTGTACCAAAAGGAAGGCCTAAGGAAGTTTTGGCATTCTACGGAGACGGAATAAACACTGCTACAGGCATATTTAAAAGTAATGCCCACTGCGGGAGACAAACTTCGTTTGAATGTATGGGTAGATTCTCGCACCTAGCACTCACCGTAATTCATTCAGTCCTTGGAGTAAAGACCAGTTTTGAGTTACAAATGTTCACCTTGCCTACAATCTTTCTCGTCTGCAAACATTTACGAAGGCAGGAATAGATTTTTAAGTCAGTGTCACAACGGAGATTTAACGAATTAGAGTCAATGAAGTGTAAATTTGGATGTGGCCGCTCCCCTCGAGCCTTCAATCCAACTTTACTACAGAACAACGCCAACTCAGCAACCCCTATCGGGTGACACTGCCGCCATGTTGCCTTTGGCATACAAACAATTAGGAGACGTACTTATGGCATCTTTTTTCTAAAGACTACTTGCGTGGCTCCAGTCGCCTGTGATATCAGTCCACATTTAGGCCCCATTCAAAGATATTTCGATCACAAATTAGGACAGTTTTACAGCAGCTTCACAGTATTTTTTTCTGTAACTTATTTTGACTTGCGCTTTGGGAGATAGATACGCTTTATAAATTGCCATCCCCGTCTGATCTCTGGGTTGCTCACAAAATTTAGAAGCTTCTAGTAACTGCTTCAGGAATGTTCAACAGTTACTGCATCGACTTATTCACTGCGCATTGCATTTCATTCATCGGTATTCACTTCAAAAGGCCAAGTGAACTATCAGTTCTCTTATAATGCGTGCGAAAACTGGTATACAATGCATTTTGAGAAATGCTTGTATTGTAGTCTTGGAATGGGGTTTTCCTTTTCCCTAGGTAAGCATAGCATTAGAGGTGTCAGGGTCCTGTGTGAAAGAATTAATAGCGTCTAATGAGCGAATCGAGCAAAATATTGGTAACCAAAAGTAGTTAGACTGGTGAGCGAAAAGGGCGACCTAAATCTTAACAATCTGAAGGAGCGGGTTGTAAAAAATGCCTCCAACTTTATTTCCCTTCGTGGACCCCACCTTTCAAGCCAGTACTCAGTTCTGAAAGCAGCATCTCTTGAAAAATTGCCTGTTTCCCAACGTCCTGTGGTAGAGCCGACATCTTATTGCTGATGTCATCAAGAAGGGAGTTCCAGTGAATCATATCGAAATTGAGAGCTGGATTAGCATGATTATAAACGAATGTAAGATCGCGCATTGAAGGTGATGCGTTAAAGCCTTCATTGGGAGAATATAAAGTATTGGCAACTGGGTGTTTGGAGCGGTTCACAAACGAACAGGATGGAGGTGCCTGGGCCATCTGTCTGAAATCTGTCTGGAATAATATTGGAGACGATGGAGGTTTCGGACCGAGAATTGACGTAGCAGAGTTATCAATCCCGTCTCCACTAGGAACGACAATGTTGGGCTCCTCCGCGCTTTGATTAAAATAGTGCATGCAAGGAATAGGAAACACTATCGGTGCTGTAGTTGTGTAATTCATGGATGCCGGGACAATGGATGCTCCGGGAGCCCCATATTGCATCGCATTCTCAGCACAAGAAGACGTAAGGTCGGCCTTCTCAATCAGGGCTTCTTGAGTTGATTCACCTTGGGTTTGAGCATAGAAATCGTGATTAGAGAGAAGACCAGGATTATCAGGAAAACCGTATTCATATTCTGATGCAGGACCCACATCCACCAGTTGGTCGGACATTTTTAGGAAGCACTCAGCGTTATGCATTAATTGAGGGTCAATTAATTCTGTTTGGGGGTGATACATGAATTGTGGAACACCAAGGTAGACTGTAGGAGTTCCGATCGCTTCCTCTTGACAGTTGCTGATCGCGGAGTATAATACATGGGGCAGGGGCAAGTAATCACAGTAGAATGTGGGACAAGTGCTTTGTTCACGTACCTGTGCCTTCATGCTGTCCATTTTCTCTATCCACCGAGAAAACACCTGTCTATTATTTTCATCTCGCTTAGCCTGGCTTGCCTTAAGCCAGTCTAGAAGCCTCTGGCGCTTATCTGTTTTCTCATCTTCTGTATTCGACGTAGTTGACTTCAGCTGGCAAATTGGTCCTGATGTAGTCTTCTTCCTTCTAGATGGCTTGAAGAATTTTCTGTTCTCTTTGGTGGTCTCAGACGTCTGTTTTATAAAGGCAGCTTCAGTTCGAGGCACATCGCCAAAGCCATAGACAGATTCATTGTGACTGTTGCTGTTAGCTTGGGAAAACAATATGCTAGGCGATACCGGCGGACGCTTCCGAGAAAGTCTGGCTTTATTCAGAATGGTCTCACTCTGTTGCTGCTTATGCGTGGGATGGCAGCGATGAAGAATTTCACGATTGGAGCTCATAGCCTCAGTTCCTTCAGCTGGTGTCAAATAACCAAAAAGGGTCAAATAAGTCGACTGCGGTTCCACTGAACAGCTGGAGCTAATCGATAAGTGGCAAATTCAATCACTGTCCAGATCAATAGCTGTGTCCAACCCAGCTGATTGAGTCGCTGGTTCACCTCTACTTTGGCAGCGGGAATGAGGCATCTCCAATAGCTCGCAATTGAAAAGCCATCTTAGGGGCAAGTCTATTTGATTGGGCAATC